CCCATATGCAATGTGTAGTTTCATCCCATGCTTCCATAATGCAGCCTCTGGCATGTTCCCATAATCCCATCAGACCTCCCCTCCCATACCCCCCTCCCCCCCCCTTCGACTTCCCCCACCCCACCACCCTCACCTTCCCCCCTCGCCAACCCACCTGCCAGAAGGCGCTGCCGAGAATGAGCCCAAGAATGATGGAGAACATGATGCGCCCAAAGCTGTGGTGGTGGGAGGGGAGGGCAGTAGGGTGAGAGGGAGGGGGATGCTAAACTCTCACTCTCACTCTCACTCTGCACAAAGCGAATCAACAGATGTTCAGTATTTGCCACGGGCTCAAGCCCACATGCTTGTTTGTGATGCGTCGAGGCAAGTAAGGTGCCTCACCCACGCACCCACCCATCCACCTACGGACCCACGGGCCCACGGACCCACCCACCCACACACGGACCCACCCACCCACACACGGACCCATGCACCCACCAACCTGTAGGACACGTTGCGCCAGTACGTGTGGACCTGGCGCACGAACACCCATGCGCGTCACCGTGCCCCATTCGACGCGTATGTGCACCAGAAGGGTGCTTTGAGAGAGCACCGACTCACCCACCTGCATGGCACCCAGTGATCCAACCCACCTGTAGGACACGTTGCGCCAGTACGTGTGGAACTGCCTAAGGAACACCATGCGCGTCATCGTGCCCCACGACGCCGCATACCCGTGCACCGACGGCTCAGGACCGTACTCGCCCTTGCCATAGCGAATGGCGTCAAGCTGCTCCTCTGCGGGAGGGCGGGAGAGGAGGGGGGGGAGAACGTGGGAGTAGAAGGAGTGGGTAAGGGGATTAGAGGGGCCGTGGTCGCCCTTGCCAAAGCGAATTGCGTCCAGCTGGTCCTCTGGGGGTAGGAAGTAAGTGGGGAGAGGAGAGTGGCAACATGTGGACAGTTGGGAATGGAGGAGGACGTAAGGACATCTTACGAACTATGAAGTGTTAACAATGAGAGAGAGACGAAACAAGGAGCAGTGGAAAATAGCAAGGCAGTATGAGCAAGGAAGCACGAAGGAGCAATGCATAGACCAGAGAAAATTCCTCCATGGATGCATGGATGCATGGATATGGAGGCATGGATGCATGGATGCACGGATATGGAGGCATGGATGCATGGACACATGGAGGCATGGACGCATGGACACGTGGATGCGTGGACACGTGGATGCGTTGACACGTGGATGCGTGGACATGTGGATGCATGGGCACACAGTCAGCAAAGAAGGAAGCAATGGCAGCAAGGGCAGCAGCTCACGGTTGTCTGCAGCGAGCACACTCTCAGCGTAGTCCAGCGCAAAGTCGCGCATGGACGCATGGCCAATGCCCGCCCCTATCATCTCCAGCATATCTGCCACAACACGTTGACAGTGATGGAATAACCCAGGAGGGGGGGTAGCGGGGAGGGGGAGAGGGGAGGGGCAGAGGGACGAGTGGAGGGAAGGAGTGGGGCAAGAAATGAGGTGGAGGAGGAGAGCTGAACTTGGGTATGCACCTGCTCCCTATGGTTGACGAGGAATGTGAGGGTGGTAATTGGGTGGAGGGGGCAGATTGGGAGAGAAAAGAAGAGAGGGGTGGGTTGGGGGGGGAGAGGGAGAGGGTGGAGAGAGGGGTGGAGATGGGGAGCAAGAGTGCAGGAGGGGAGGAAAGGGGGGGAGAGTAGAGGGGTGGAGGTGCACTTACAGGTGGCAGGGTTCTGGTCGTCCCGGCACTTGGGCAGGCCAGGCAGGGACTCGAAGTAACTCTGTGTGGAAAGGGAGGTGGGGGGGCAGGGGTGGAGGGTGTGGGAGAGGAGATAGTTCCGACATAGGATGGAGGATTTTGGCTTGGAGTTAAGAGAGTGTTATGAGTCTATTTTTTAGTCGACTCAAAAAAAAAATCATCACACCTTGAGGATCCGGCGTAGGATGGATGATTTTGGTATGGAGTTAAGTGGGGGAATGGTGGAAGATGAAGGTGGGGGGATGCATGCATGCATGAAGGGGTGAAAGCGAAGCTGGCAGGCACTAGCATGTGCATGCTTCATCCAGAGATCACAGCGACGCAGTGAAGTGCCGCAATCGATGCATCATAACACGGTGGCCCGCAGGAAGTGGTACCCACTAACACACTGTGGGTAAACTGCCAGCAAGGCCACAACCCACTAATAACCACATTCAAACCCCTAGCACCACATGCAACCCACCAGGAGGTCGCAGCCGTTGTGGCCGATGGGGCCGAAGTAGACGACCTCACCCCCGCGCTTCATGAGGTACAGCCAGTCAAACGCAAAGAAGAGCCGCCGGCTCGGCTGGTGGATCGTGCAGATGGTGCTGGGGAGGGGGGGGGGAGGAGAGTGGGTAAGATAGGGCAGAACGGGTGAGAGACAGGGCAGAGTGGGTGAGAGATAGGGCAGAGTGGGTGAGAGATAGTGCAGAGTGGATGAGAGATAGTGCAGAGTGGGTGGCAAAAGTAGAGCGGAGTTGGGGGGGAACAGAGGGTGGGGAGCGAGGGGCTATTATATCTCAGAATATGCTGCCTTCTGACAGGGAATGAACCCACCCTTCCTGGTCAGCAACAGCTGCTGCTTGCTCCCCAAACCCTTTTCCTCCATGCCACCCTCCCTCCAACTATTTCGCCCTCCCTTCCCCCTCCCTTCCCCTCTCCCTCCCCCCATCCCTCCCTCCCTCCCCTCTCCCCCCCCTCACCTCCTCCCGGTGCCAGCAATGTTCCTGATCCCGCGCACGACAATGTCAGCCGCGCGGCTGTCCAGCCCACTGGTGGGCTCGTCCAGGAAGAGGACGCTGGGGTTGGCCACCAGCTCCACGCCTATGGTCAGCCGCTTCGCCTGCTCCACTGTCAGCCCGTTGATGCCAATGAACCCCACCAGCGTGTCCGCTATGTCGTGCAGCTCCAGCAGGTCCATGGCCTGGCCGGGGAGAGGAAGGGGGGGGGGAGGGGGAGGGGGGGTGGGGTAGGGAAGGAAGGAAAGAGGAGAAAGATGAGAGCAGGTGTGGGCCTGCCCCGCTTACCAGCGTGTCTGCTATGTTGTGCAGCTCCAGGAAGTCCATGGCCTGGCCTGGCAGTCAACGGAAGTAGAAAAAGTGGGTGGAGAGGGGGGGGGGGGGGGGGAGCAAGAAGGGAGTCGAAGTGTTGAGGCCACCCACCTACCAGCACCATCTCTCACACCGCCTGCACCACGAGCGCGCAGTCAGCGGGCGAGACGGTGGCGGGCAGGCGCAGAGCCGCGTTCTCTGTTCCACAATCACACAATCACACAACCACACAACCACACAACCACCCCATGCGTCCATGCTCCCATGAATCCATGCGCCAATGCCAATCCGCTCATACCACCCATGCCATTGCACACACCTCCTGCACCATGCACACCCTGTCTGCAGACGAGGTGGCGGCAGGCAGGGCACCGCAGCAGCCTAGGCCCACCCAACTACTCATGCCACCCACGCAATTACCCTCACCGCCTGCCCCACGAGCGCCCTGTCGGCAGCAGAGGTGGCGGAGGCAGGCGCAGAGCCGCAGCAGCAACCTCGGCCCAACCAAGCACCCATGCCAATGCGACCGAACTCATGCAACCCATGCTACCAGAACCATCTGTCTCGCCTCCTGCACCACGAGCGCCCTGTCAGCAGGCAACGTGGTGGTGGGCAGGCGCAGAGCAGCATGCCCGGTGCCACAAACACCTATCCCTCCCGTGCACCTATGCCCTTACACTCACACCCACACCTTTTCCACCCACGTGCCGCCCTAACGCACCTCCTGCACCACGAGCGCCCTGTCAGCAAGCGAGGTGGTGGAGGGCAGGCGCAGAGCGGCGCTGAACTGCAGCGACTCGCGGATGGTGATGAAGGGCGTGTGGATGTCGCTCTGCTCCACGTAGCTGGGTGAGGGAAGGGGAGGCGGGGTAGAAGGGGAGAAACAAGTGAAGCGAAGGGGGGTGGGGGTGAGGGGGGGATATAGGTAGATTGAATGATGATGAAGGGCGTGTGGATGTCGCTCTGCTCCACGTAGCCGGCACAGGAGGGATAGCACACACGGGCAGCAGAGTGGGTGAAAGAGGCGAGGCAGAGCGGTGAAGGGGCAGAGCGGTTAAGGGGCCGAGCGGTGACGGGCCGAGAAGTGACGGGGCAGAGCAGGGGCAGGTAGGGAGCAGAAAGGGAGCAGGAGCAGCGAAGCTAGAGAGCAGAGGGCGAGTGCATGAGCAGCAGTACCCGGAGATGCGGGCGAACGTGGCCTGCACTTTGGGGAAGGAGTTGACCAGGATGTCTCCCCGGGTGCGCCCGATGGTCTTGCGCCCCGCCAACACGTCCAACAGGGTTGTCTTGCCTGCGCCTGGGAAACGAGCAGGGGGGAGGGGAAGAAAGAGGAGGGCAAGGGAGCAGGATGAGTGGTTATGCGCACGAAAGGAAGGGGGGAGAGGGTGGGAGGATGGACAGGGAGGAGACAGAGGTACGCGGAATGAGGGGGAAAATGGGAGAGGGCAATGGGATGAGGAGTGGTCAAGTGGAAAGGAGAGTGCATGGAAAGAATTTACCTGGGAAGCCCATGAGTGCGTTGACGGTGCCAGGGCGCACTAATGAGTCGTTCCAATAGTCACCCCGCCCGCACTATTGGGTGTATGGGAGAGATACCTGAGGAGCCCATGAGGGCGGTCATGGTGCCAGGGCGCACGAAGCCAGACACGCTGTTGAGCAGCACCTTGGGCTCACTCATGCCCGGTACGTCCACCTGGGGGGGAGGGGGGGGTGGGAGAGAAGAGGTGGTGGGAAGGGGTGGGATGGGATGGGTAGGATAGTGGGCGCAAGGGATAGGTGGCATGTGATGTAAGGAGCCCCAAAGCACCTTGGGCTAACTCATGCCCGGTGCTGTCCCCCTGGAAGGGCAGGTGGCAGAGATGGTTGGGAGGTGATTACAGGCGCACAGGTGCTTCAGAGCAAGGGCGGGATGAGCAGTTAGAAGAGGGATGGAAGGAAGCAGCACAAGGTGTGAGACAGCGTTCCTTGTTGAAAGGGCGATGCAGAACCAGCACCAGCAATACCAGCAGCAGCAGCAGCAGCAGCAGCAGCAGCAGCAGCAGCGGCAGCGGGAGCAGAAGCAGCAGCAGCAGCAGCAGCAGCAGCAGCAGCAGCAGCAGCAGCAGCAGCGGCGGCGGCAGCGGCGGCGGCGGCAGCAGCAGCAGCAGCAGCAGCAGCGGCAGCGGCAGCGGCAGCGGCAGCAGCAGCAGCAGCAGCAGCAGCAGCAGCACCACCACCACCACCACCACCACCACCAGCTGTCACGCACCAGCACCAGTACCAGCTGTAGCACCAGCAACAGCACCTTCTGACATAATAGAGCGAGACAAAGAAGGACAGGGTGGCCGGAGTGGACTTTTAATTGGGGGCTGAGTTGCGCTGCGTCCTCTTGAGGCGCCCCCGAAACCACAAGCTCGCCTCATATAGCAGGCAGTGGAAGGCCAGAGTGATCGAAGCGAACTTCACTCGAGAGTGAGGGAAGCACGCGAGTACAATCTCCTTTCTCCATACCTCAAAACGAGCGCACCTCATAGAGCAGGCCGTGGAAGGACCATTCAAGAAGAGTGGTCGGAGTGAACTGCACTCGCAACTGACTGGAGAAGAAATGTCTGTTTCCTAGGTGTCCCTTAGCAAGCACGCTGCGCACCTCATAGAGCAGGTCGTGGAAGGAAAGAGTGGTAGGAGTGAATTTGACTCGCGACTGAGGGGCCGCCTTGGTCCTCCATCCTCCTCCGCACCATCAGCAGCAGCACCATCAGCGGCACCATCAGCAGCAGCAGGCTCAGCAGCAGCGGCATCCCTCTCGATCATTGCCTCTGCTTCCTCCGCCTCGCCCCCTCCTCCTCCCCCTTCCCTTCTCCTCTGACGACATCTGCTTCTTCACCGCCCGCACCGCCTTCTGAAACACGTTCCGCTGGGGCGGCCGGGGTGGCAGGCGGCTGGCGGGCGGCATCTTATTTTCGTTGAACCGAACACGAGCAACAGCAAGGAAGGTGAGGGAGATGAAGAGCGCAGTGAATCCCAGGAGAGCAGCAAGGGAGTACCAGACGGCACCGAAGGAGGAAGGCATTCCAAAGAACTGTAGGAAGGCCTCTCCTGCTGTGGTGCTGCCAGGCTTGTTGAGACAGAAGGCAGCAGTAGTGGTGTTGACTGTGCTGCAGGGCTGTGCGGGGGGGAGCGAGGGAGTGTCAGTGTGGGGGGATTGAAGGGGGTGGGAATGGGGGGGGTGGAGAGAGTGAGGCCAGGAGAGGAAAGGGAGGCGTATGAGTAGCCAGAGATTGGTCATACAGCTTTGAGGTTTGTAACGAAGATACAACCTTACAACGATGCAGGGCACTTGCATCCCCCCCACCCCACCCACTGCACAGCACAGCCCTTCCAAACAGAAATGGCAGGTGGGCTTCCAAAGCATTTCTCCCCTTGCCAGCGTAACGCACTGAACGCTTTCAAAGCTACACACAATACACACAACAACACACTACGGACCACTGACCTCGTTGTAGGAGCCCGAGAGGAACTCGTTGATGCAGATGGCGGTGACGCCGTACTGCAGCGGGTTGACGTAGTACATCCAGATCCACCACGCGGGGATGTTGGGCTTGGTCAGCAGGAAGCCCGTGAAGAGCAGAAACGTGATCACCACCAGACCTGGCAGGAAGAGGGGAGAGGAGGGTGAGGGGGCGTGGATGGAGGAAGGCACGGATGGTTAAGATGGAGGGGAGCCTTGAGGAGCCTCAACTCAACACAGCAAGCCTGGGAAGAGCAGAAAGGTGACCAGTCCTGGAAAGAAGGGGGAGACGGGGGTCACCTGCAGTGCTGGCAGTACCTGCAGTGCTGGCAGTACCTGCAGTGCTGGCAGTACCTGCGAGGCTGCCAGTACCTTCTATGCTGGAGGCCATCTCGCTGAACGTGCTGACGGAAGCAATGAGGCGGATGAGCATGGCGCCCATGACACCCACTGCTCCTGCCAGCAGCATGGCTCACCCATAGCACCTGCATGTGCAAGACAGTAGCAATGCCGGCTCACACACAGTACCTGCACTGCCTTACCTGCGAGGCTTGACGCCATCTCCCTGGAGGTGCTGACGGAGGCGATGAGGCGGATGAGCGTGGCGCCCATGACGTCCACTGCGAGCAGCAGCAGCAGGAAGAGGAAGAAGTGGGACACGCCATCCGCTGCGCTCATGCCCGTCAGCCAGTACACCAGAGGGCCGTAGATCAGCACCTGCAGGTAGTGGCAGAGGGAGGAAAGAGGAGATATTTGGAAAGGCTGATACAAGTCAACACTGAATACAAGCCAGTCAGCCAGTACACCAGAGGGCGGTGGGTCAGCACTTGACAGAAGCAGCCAAGAGCTGAAGGGAGAGTGGGAGAGGAGCGAGGAGGAGGCAGTCTCGATGTCGACTCGAGCCTCTCTTGGGACGCCTTGACAAGCGGCTTGAGTACGGCAATTTGGTAGACTCAAACATCCATCAGTCTCCCTCCCCCTTCCCCATACCCCTCTCCCCAAAACCCACTTATCCTTCCTCGCTCACCTCAGCCAGCGAAAATGGCAGGTTGCAGATGGTGGCGGCAAGGACCAAGGAGCTTACCCACACAAGTCAACTCAAACATCTCTGATGCCCCCTTTCTCCTCCTTCTCCCTCCTCGACTCACCTCAGCCAGTGAGAAAGGCAGGTTGCAGATGGTGCTCGCGATGACATAGGAGCTCAAGCGGTAGAACCGTGTGCCCAACTGCTTCGCCACCGCCTGCCGCTCGTCGATGATGTTGGGGATGAGCCTCCTCCTGCCAACCCCGATTTCACAACCCGCCCTTCGTGCCTTCCCCGCTCACCTCAGCCAGCGAAAACGGCAGGTTGCAGATGGTGCTGGCGATGACATAGGAGCTCGATCGATAAAACCGCGCACCCATCTGCTTCTCCACCACCTGCCGCTCGTCGATGATGTTGGGGATGAGCGCAAAGCTCCCCAGCGCGAGCGCCATGGTGGCGGCGAAGGCGATGGAGAGGCGCAGCTGCATGGTGGGCGTGGAGATGGTGTTGGGGATGCGGAAGAACACAGTGCCCGTGAATATGCCCAGGATCAGCACCTGAGGGGGAGGTGGGTGGGGGGGTGGGGGGGGGGGAGAGTTTGGGGAGGAGGGGTGGGGGTTGGGGAAGGGCGAAACGGGGAAAGGGCAGGGGAATACTGCTTTGAGGCACCTCGAGACACAGTGATGCTTGGAGTGCATGGCGCTGCACACGCGATGGCAACTTGACTTACACATGGCGTTGGGTTGCTTACCTGCATGCCGCGCGTGATGAGGAAGGAGGTGCTGCGGGTGGTGACCTTGAACCACCAAGCACACACTCTCACACTCTTTCACACACTCTCTCACACTCTCACACTCTCTCACACACTCTCTCACACACTCTCACACTCACTCTCACACACTATCTCACACACTCACATGCATACACACACGCGCGCATGGCAGTACCTGCATGCCGCGCGCGATGAGGAAGGAGGTGTTGCGCATGGCGACCTTGAACTGCCGCGCCACCACCAGCTTCGTGCTGGCCCACCACGGGATGGCGTACTCCTGCTCGAACTTGGCGTGTGCTGGCAGCTCCTCCTGTGGGTGGGAAAGGGGGTGGGACGAGGAGATAGAGGAGATGGTGCATGAGGGGGGCCGGGGGACATGGAGGTGCGGGGGTGGGAGGGCGCAACCAGCTTCGTGCTGGGCCACCGGGGGATGGCATGCAATGCAACTGCTCAAACTTGGCATGCGCTGGCAGCTCCTCCTGTGGGTGGGGGGGGGGGGGTGGGGGGGGTAGAGACAAGTGAAGGAGCACGGGCGGATGGGAAGATGGAGGAGCCCCCCATGGAGAGATCTCCCGTCCTCCCCCCTTTCTCTGCCTATCAGCCTACCCCACTCTGGCTTTCTCCCCCTCCCTTTCAACCGCTCTCACTCTCACAACTTGCCTACACTCTTCCTCAAGCTCCTCAGCCATCCCACCCTTCCACGCACCTCCCCTTCCACCGCATCCCACCTCTCCCCACCACCCTCCACCGTCAACCTCCCCCACATCCCACCTGCACCAGTGGTCGTTCCAGCTGCAGTCGAACAGCATCCCCGCCCTCCCCCTCCTCTCCTCCCCCCGCGTCCCCACCCGTTGCTGCCTGCAGCCTCTTCTGCAGCACCTCCGCGATCACACACCCCTCCCCATCCCCACTCTTCCCCCCTCCTTCCCCTCCTCCTTCTCCCCCACACCCAGCCGTAGCATACTGCATGACCTCCCCTGGGAGCGCCAGCCCAGTGACTGAGTCCCCTTGCTGCACCGTGTCCGTGCATGTGATGTCGGGCTGGGAGAGGTGGCAGTGGGCCAGCACACTTGAGACGGTGACTGCAGGGAGGAGGAGAGAAGGGGGAGGGGGGAGGGGGGGTGGAGGAGAAGATGAGTGTGTGACCATTTCACGCCGGGCCGGAGACAAGAGTCCTCTTCCTGTGCTGTGTCAGTGCATGCATGTGATGTCTGGCTGGGAGGGAGAGGTGGCAGTGGGCCTGCACACTTGAGATTGCGACTGTAGGAAAGCAAGATGGGCGAGGGAAGGAGACATGAGTGTGAAGATAACGTGCCAGCCCAGTCACAGCGTCCCCTTGCTGCACCGAGTCGGTGCATGTGATGTCCGGCTGAGAAAGGTGGCAGTGGGCCGCCACACTTGAGTCGGTGACTGCAGGGGGGAGGAGGGGGTAGGAAGAGGAGGGAGGGAGGGGGGAGAGGGGATGGAGGGAAGGGAGGGGTTGGGCTTGTGAGAGCATAGACATGAGCTTGAGCTGGGTCACCTGCATGCATCGTGGCATCGTGGCATCATGGCATGTACCCGAGTCACATGCATCATGGCATCATGGCATGTACCCGAGTCACATGCATCATGGCATCATGGCATGTATGTACCTGAGACGCCAGAGAGGGAGAAGCCCAAGTCGATCGGGGGCTGCACCTCCACCCACACGGTCTTGCACACCTGGTGATGGCGTAGGATGGGTGGCGTGGGATGGGTGGTGTGGGATGGGTGGTGTGGGATGCGTGGTGTGGGATGGGATGGACGGGAGGCAGGAAAACACAGGGAATTGAGACACAGGCTAAAGCTAGATTTAGACCGCCTCAATACTGTGTCGCCCCCACCACCCAGCCGCATTAAAACCTGAGTCGCCCCCACCCAGTCATCTCAAAAATTGATGCTGAGCCAGAGCTCGTGGCACTACAGGGATGTGATGCGCATGGCAGTGTGTGCGAGTCTGTGTGTGTGTGTGTGTGTGTGTGTGTGTGTGTGTGTGTGTGTGTGTGTGTG